CACTTGTCTGTCCACACCTGTCTGTCCACACCTGTCTGTCCTCACCTGTCTGTGTCACCTGTCTGTCCTCACCTGTCTGTGTCACCTGTCTGTCCTCACCTGTATGTGTTGCTGTTGTGTCTGTCTGATGTCATCCAGGTGTTGCTGCAGCTCTTCTTCTCTCCTCTTCCACCTGCAGCAGTGTGTCTCCCATATCATCGCTGCTGCTTGCATCACAGCAAAGACACACCTGCTGATGCTGACAGCATGACGAGACACAGAGTGACGGCACACCTGCTGGCAAACAGGTGAACAGGTAGAGAGACAGGTGAAAAGGTGAACAGACAGGTGTACAGACATGTGAAGCTGGACAGACAGATGAACAGGTGAACAGGTGAACAGACAGGTGAAGGTGGGCAGACAGGTGAACAGACAGGTGAACAGGTGTACAGATAGGTGAACAGGTGTACAGACAGGTGAACAGGTGAACAGGTGTACAGACAGGTGAACAGGTGTACAGACAGGTGAACAGGTGAACAGACAGATGAACGGGTGAACAGACAGGTGAACGGGTGAACAGACAGGTGAACAGGTGTACAGACAGTTGAACAGGTGAACAGACAGGTGAACAGGTGAACAGACAGGTGAACAGGTGTACAGACAGTTGAACAGGTGAACAGACAGGTGAACAGGTGAACAGACAGGTGAACAGGTGTACAGACAGGTAAATTTAGATTCTGACATCTAAAGCAGCCACTTGCTCTTCATCCTGACTCTGCTTTTGACCAATCAGAGGGAGAACCTGAGAGGAGATGATGTCATCCACCTGTTGGTCTGACACCTGGAGAGCTGAGAGCGCCACCTGCAGGACAACAGGTGTACATGTTACCTCAGCAGCATCTGTGTTTATTTGTCACAGAATAAAGACCTGACCCCTGGCTGCTCCTCCTCCCACTCCTCCTCCCCCTCCTCCTCCTCAGCTGACCTGTGGTCAGATCCGTACCTGACAGCGCTCCACTNCCTCCTCCCCCTCCTCCTCCTCAGCTGACCTGTGGTCAGATCCGTACCTGACAGCGCTCCACTGCAGCCTGCTGGTTCTGACACCTCTGCAGGTGAACACCTGTCAGCTGATGGAGGAGGTCCTCATGAAGACGGTCTGAACACAGAGTTTAAACAGTCAGAACCTTTGGACCGGACCAGGACCAGATCCCAACAGGACCAGATCCCAACAGGACCAGCAGGTTTATATGACAGATACCAATCTGCTGGTTGATGGATGTCAGCTCACTGAACCAATCAGAAACCACTGCAGACGAACAGGTGGGCGGGACCAAAGAGCTGAAAGACAGACAGATGTGATTGGACAGACAGAACAGTGGGCGGAGCCTGTGAACTGTGATGTGTTATTGTTACCAGATCTTCCTGATGATGTCACAACGTTCTTCTGTCAGAGCGAGCTGGATCTGGTTCTGCTGATCTGAGACCAGCTGCAGGTCCTCATCACTGCTGCAGAGGGCCCTGCAAAACAGGCCCTGCAGATCCTGGACCAGTTTAAAGACTGAAAATGATCCTGGACCAGTTTAAAGACTGAAACTGATCCTGGACCAGTTTAAAGACTGAAACTGATCCTGGACCAGTTTACAGACTGAATCTGATCCTGGACCAGTTCAAAGACTGAATCTGATCCTGGACCAGTTCAAAGACTGAATCTGATCCTGAACCAGATTAAAGACTAAAAACTGATCCTGGACCAGTTTAAAGACAAAAAACTGATCCTGGACCAGTTCAAAGACTGAAACTGATCCTGAACCAGATTAAAGACTAAAAACTGATCCTGGACCAGTTTACAGACTGAATCTGATCCTGGACCAGATTAAAGACTGAATCTGATCCTGAACCAGATTAAAGACTAAAAACTGGTCCTGGACCAGTTTACAGACTGAATCTGATCCTGGACCAGTTCAAAGACTGAAACTGAACCTGGACCAGATTAAAGACTAAAAACTGGTCCTGAACAAGTTTAAAGATTTAATCTGATCCTGGACCAGTTTACAGACTGAATCTGATCCTGAACCAGATTAAAGACTAAAAACTGATCCTGGACCAGTTTACAGACTGAATCTGATCCTGGACCAGATTAAAGACTGAATCTGATCCTGGACCAGATTAAAGACTGAATCTGATCCTGGACCAGATTAAAGACTGAATCTGATCCTGGACCAGTTCAAAGACTGAAACCTGGTCCTGGTTTTATGAAAACTGTCATCTGTCTAAACTTTTTCACCACCTGGATCTGATCCTGTCCAGACTAGACTAAGACCAGGATCTCCACCCACCTTATCTGGTCTACAGTCTCATGGATCCTGCTGCTCCTCCACAGGTTCAGACTCTGCTCCCACTGCAGGAGGAGGAAGGTCTCCTGCTGCAGGATCTCCTCCTGCAGGTGCAGCAGCAGGAGGGCCACGCTGCGACGGTTCGCCAGCAGAGACTGGTTCAACACCTGCAGCACACCGAGGAAGAGGAGGGTGACCTTCAGAGACCTGAGGAAGGTCAGAGGTCACAGGAAGTTACCTGGGTCTCGGTGTGGATCAGTCTCTGGAGGTCAGGTGGAGGCAGGAAGCTGATCTCCTCCAGCAGGAGGAGGTGTTTCCTGAGAAGAACCCTGATCTGAGACAGGAAGTAAACAATGTGACCTCAGATCAGCTGATTTAACAGGAAACAGGAAGTCAGTCTGACCTCAGATCAGCTGATTTAACAGGAAACAGGAAGTCAGTCTGACCTCAGATCAGCTGATTTAACAGGAAACAGGAAGTCAGTCTGACCTCAGATCAGCTGATTTAACAGGAAACAGGAAGTCAGTCTGACCTCATCGACACGAC